TGTGATTTTAAGAGACACTTATATTCAGATAGGGTTAATGAGATGCTTCACCAGGCTTCCTTGCATAAGTTAAATGAAACCGCTGACATGGAAAGGAATAAGCTATTTAAGTTTATAGATATTAAGTCAAAGCTCCGACGTGATCTGGCCAGGATTCTGTCTCCGGATGATTTTCACAAACTCCAGAGAATGGCCGACAAAAAATCACGTAGGATCTCAGACTTAAAAACAAAAAAACATCACTATAAATGGCTTATATATGGAATTATATAACAACGTAGAGTAAAGCCAATGCGCCGACATCCACTGAACTAAACGATGAAGGGAACAAGCTGGTGAATTTATCCTCGCTTCCCCTTAATGCCAAAACCACTAAGATCCTAAATAAAAAACTAAACTTTTCAAGGTAAAATGGCAGAAATATTCTAGAGGAAATTCTGGTTGAAGTCATTAATATCCCTGACAAGTTCCCTCCGGAAACAAAATGGGAAATGGAGATGGAAATAATCCCTAGAATCTTGACACATTATGAACCAAGACACAAGACCTCTGTCCTTCAGGCGAGCAGAGGTGCGACAGTTGTAAGGAACAGAAAACAATATACAGAGAAAATGGAATGTATACTGCAAGACAGGACTTCCTATCGTCTACTAAAGAAGGACGCAACTATGAAGATCAATGGAACTTTACGGGACATGTTGATAGATATGCACAGGAACGGGGGGATCAATGGATGGACAATAAATTCACTAATAAAAAGGGATGCACGACCACCAACAGCCTACAGGCTAACGAAGTTACACAAAGAAGTAGAACCACTAAGGATAATAGTTAACGTCAAGTTAGGAGCAACACAAAAATTAGCCAAGTGCATATGTCTAAAAATCAAGAAGGTAAACGACAGATTGTCAAACACAGTGAGGCACTCATATGAATTTTCTCAGAAGATCAAAGACAGAGAACTGGAAGAAACAGAATTACTGATATGTTTTAGTGAACAATCTATGCACACAAACATTTCTGGTGAAAAAGCATTAAAGGGTCGAATAAAAAGATTGTTCAGAAGTTTACTGTATAAGAGGGAGAAAAATTGGAATAAGAATCAAGGACCATCAAAAACTCTGCAGGAAAATGGATACCGAAAGATCAGAATTAGCGGAACACATCGCACAGACTAAACTCGAGATCATTTGGAGGGCAACCGAGCTTAACATAGTTTCATCTGGCTCGCAGGACGATGAGCCGAGGACTTCTTCCCACAATTCAACAGTCTTCCTTACGCGACAATCCACCCTCGGTTTCCGGTAAGACCATATCACGAATTCCTTCAAACCAAATTTCTCTACGAAATGTAGAGTCATGCCACAACGTAGATTAAAGCCAGTGCGCCCAGTTGAAGGGGCTTCCAAGGCGACGACACCTATTGAATAGTACGACGAAGGAAATAAGCCGGTGAATTTATCCTTGTTTCCCATCGATCCTAAAGAAAGGACTAAACTTTCTCTTCAAAATAGCATAAATATTCTAGCGGTTATTCTGGTGGAGGTCATCAATATCTCCGGCAAGTTCCCTCAGGAGACAAACCGGGAAATAGAGATAGAAATAATCCTTAGTATCTTAACACATTATGAACCAATGCACAAGAATAGATTTGCGAGGATACGGAGAACCCTAGAAATGAATGAACAATTGGTCCTTCAGGTGG